GTTTTCTAGAAAACCCTTTTCAAAAACACCTATTGCTCTGAAAAGTATTCCATGCGAAAGAGCACACTCAAAAACCTATTTTTACTGAGTTTTAAGTTGATTGGATGCATTTAAACCCAAATGTCCGTCTGCCTAGCCAAAATTGCCCACTGTGTGACAACCGTCCTAAATGGTCTTGCTGACATATTTCAAGGACAGTATTTTCATTGTCTTGTCGGATTATTGGACGATCTAATTCTTTTTGTTTAATATCAGAATCGTAATCATATGCTAAGAAATTCGGTGTTAATGGAACAAGTTCTTTCTCCCATATTACAGTGTATTCGTCACCGTCGAGATCACTTCCGGCAATTTCGTGTGAATGTGGACGCTGACCTTGTTGGGGAAATACTAAACAATCCTTTAAATGTCTCAACTGTGGAACGTCGACTGCTATGAATGTTCGAAGATCACCGGGATGCTGACAGGGGTTTTTCGTTATTGCGACTGTGACATTGGTCAATATTGTTGTTTTTCTGTAATTATTCATATCCGAATATTGAATAAATACCTGTCCTGGTTTTAAAATCCTATGTTCATCCACTACGCCAAACATATAGCGGCCTTTGGTATTATCAATACGAATATGTGCACGCTTCTTCAAACTATACATAACGCTCTTACGTGTTTCTATGATTAATCGACGGAAAAATGGCTCATCGTAAAGAGATGGATGGTTTGAAAGTTTGTCTAATTCAAATACACGAAGAACTTTTTCACGAATTAGCTCTATAGCAGATGTAGTTGAAAGCAGAGGCTTTGTTAACCAAAATGTATGTTTAAGTTGCAATGACAGGAACATGACATCTCCTATTTGACGATTGGACAAGAGAATAATTACTTGTCTATTTAAGTTAACTGCTCCTATCAGAAAATAAAAGAAAGAAAACGATGTATTTTTGTCTGATCCATTCAGATTTTAAATATAAAAATTCCTAGCAAAAAATACTTCTGCCTGTTATTGCCTTCACTTACGCGGTATTGACCTTTTACACAATTCTAATGTATCGTGATCTGTGTTGAATTTCCGCATTGAATGTCGAAATATCACCTTCTTTTCTTCAACATCCAATCTTGGATCGCATACCAAAGTACCCTTATTTCCCCCATACCTAATTTGAATAACACTTGAAACATCTCTAAAACCCATAGCATCGTGAATCTACGTAAAACAAAGTGAACGAGAGACATTAGGAGGATCATTTCTATTCTGTCTATAACTATTTAGACATTTTGCGTACGTTTTTCATTAATTCATATGATATTCTGCCAACGCCGTCTGTAAACAGATATTTCCCATCAACAGTTCTAATGTCACGTTCATATGCCACTAATTCGGCTGGAATCTGCAAAGAAACAAGCGAGACAACAATCTACTTGGCGAACTGTCTATTGTCGATTTTAAGTAAGTAGTTGCAGCTTCTACTTACCCTTATCGTTGCTTCAGTACTTGAAAAACACAGTGACATTCTTGCCGCATATTTTGCTGGTACTCGAATGCTTGAAAAATCACCCAGCCACAGATATCCAGTTTCCATCGGTAAACAATCCTCCAGCAAATTTTCGTAATAAAAATATACCTGTCGTTCTCTTAGTTGCGATTGTGCATGATGATAATAACGATAAAGACGATTACCAATTCGAAACCTTCCACTCTCACTAATATAGTTTCTAAATAGTTCTTTCAAACTACAATAATCACGTGATTGTAATTGACATCCGTTATCATCGCGAAATTCAACAAGAGCAAAGTTTTTTATATCACCAAACTTATCTTTAGCTCTGAATACTCGATTAGATTTACTAATTTGGAATGGTTTTACTTTGATACCGGTTGGCGTTACAATAACATATGGAATCATTTGCCATGACTGAGCAGACTGACGAAACAGACTGTTCAGATAAAAGCTTTCGTAATGATCTAACGTTGACCGTAATTCATTCGATAAGTCCAAGAAATAGTATCGAGAAGCTTGTCGTACCAATCGTTCACAAACATGATAGAATAATTCATCGCTGTTGAGTTTCATCATTTCTTGAATGAATGAATGTGTAATTTTTTCTTCTATTCGGCATCCACAATTCAGTAACATCTGCCATGCATAATTCTTGATAAATGTAGGAAAGATGATCGCGGGATTTATCTTGGAAACGTCTACATTTCGATTAAAGTTTATAGAACCAAAATAAATTGAAATTTTCTGTTGTTGAAAAAAATGAATAAAGTTTTTGAAGCATCGTTGAACGTTTGTCATAGCTTTTTCATTAATTTTCTCATTTTTATCCAGATTATCTGTGGTGCCAATCGCCAGACGGATTGTAGAGGATTGCGGTTGACTTTCAGAATTGTAAACACGACAAAATTCATTAGAGTCTAAAAGATATAAAAAACACATTTTGTACTTATTCAAAATAATTTGTTTATCATAAACCTATGAGGTCATGGAAGTGTAAGAAAAGATTCTGTTAGGACGCTACATCAGTTGCAGTTCCCTTAAACAAAAACATTTTGTGGAGTCTTATAAGAACCGTACTCAGTTCTTATATAAGATCTTCCACAAAAGTGACAAGAATTCTGCTGAATTTTATAAGAATCTCACAAGAACTCATAAGAAATTGTTAAGAGTCATCGAAACTCGTACGCTTATAAGATTCTTATAAAAAACATGATCGACTCTCCTACAAAAGAATCCCAGTACAGTTGTTTTCCATTCTTTTTTGCGACATATACGGATTTAGTTAATCTGCGAAAAGGATGTGTCTCAAAAGACAACTTGTCCAAAAATCTGATAGTGTACCATTGTGACTAGCAAAAATGAGTCCTACTTAGACAAGGGAATAGACAGCTGAATTTGCCGTGTACATCTTCTGAATTTACTACCTGACTCTCTATTCATACTGGTTTTTCCTTTTCAGATAGAGATTATAACACGACAAAAGCATTGTCTGCTCCACGATTTTTGATTGCACTATGTTCTCGAAGAAAAGTCCGACTAAACATAGTGGAATCAATCGTAGATAATAAAACGGTGACTGGAAAAATGTGAAACTGGTGCGTACCAGTGCAACATAGCATGGCGTGCGCACCGGTAGTGCCTGTCTTTTTTCTGTACTGGGATTTTTTTGTAGGAGAGTGGAGCATATTTTTCATAAGAATCTGATAAGAATAACGTACGAGTTTTGCTGACTCTTAGCAATTTCTTATGAATTCTTGTGAAATTCTTATAAGATTTAGCAGAGTTCTTGTCACTTTCGTGGAAGATCTTATATAAGAATTGAGTAAGATTCTTGTAAGATACTTGTAATATTCTTACATGCTTTTTACAAGTTTCGTATCTGATTCTTGTATAAGAACCGCTGACTACGGTCAATTTAGTACTATAAGAACGTAGTGTAGTATTGATTTGTCACAGTAAAATCTATCTCACTTTGTCACTTTCTCACACCGCTTTCTCTCTAACTTTTTTTGTCTTTATATGAAATCTATACATACTTTTCTTCTGTTCATATTCTGCTACGTTTCCCTTGACGCATAAATACAGCACGAAACCGTTTTCATTTACATTGAAAACTACACCAGGTTTGATATGCTCTTTTGTTATTACTTTTTTAGTACTCCAGTCCATTAGAATTTCAAACCGATCAGCAGTAAACCATATTTTACATACTGTTTTCTTACCAAAGAAGTATGGTGATGCGTAGCAGACAAATTGATTCATTGTTGTCAAAGCTCCGTAACATAAATTTATGGAATATCCTTTATCAAAAATAATTTTATGGCATTCGTCATACACAAAATTGAATTTCGCTGAATTTGTTAATAGAAACCAATATGATGTGTGTAATAAATTTATTGTTTGTGGACGATCGAGTTTCAGTAAGAATGACTTTAAACCAAACTGATCGATTCCATTAACTTCGTTATCTTTCCAATGCATGGATTTATTTGTTGTACTAATTGTAACTGTATCAGCACATGTAAATGCACAATAGTTAATGAACGAAATCTTTTTAGCGAAATCCACCCTCAAAGTGAAGTATATTTTAAAGTAAAGTAAACTGTAAAGTAAACTCAAAAAGCTGTTATGTTTGAAACAACTTACATGATCTATTGATACGTTTTCTAATTCATCGGACAGATTTCGTTTCAACATTTTATTATGAGATACACCCACGTCATTAACATGTAGTGTTGCTGTGCGATTTCGTTCACGCACATTCTAAAAGATGAAAAATACAACGAGCTTAGACTCTATTCCCTGAATCCTCCTCCTACTGGAGAGGTCTCTTTTCTGCGCAGGTTTAAAGATATTTTTTCGAATACGAGAACGCAAGAAAGACTTAACGGCTTGTCCACGTAACGGTCACTTTCAATGAGATGAGTTCAAAATAAAAAATCCGCTCAATCGGCTGGAGTCAAGTTATACAGCTCACTCGATTGTATATAGAAATACACATCTTGCATTGAATTTGATTAAACAAGTGCAGGTTTTTCTTAATACGTACAAGTCATGGTAATAGACTACTATCCATCCCAAAATACAGTACCGGTAGGTATTTTTTTGAATAACTTTTGACGGATATGCGATAGAGACCTGCGGTTCGATAGCCAAGACTTGAGCGGAACTTTTCGCAAGCGGAAACAATTTTTGACAAAATTTCAAAGACCG